GGATGGATGGATGGATGGATGGATGGATGGATGGATGGATGGATGGACAAATGTATGGATGGATGGATGGATGGACAAATGTATGTATGTATGTATGTATGGATGGATGTATGGATGTATGGATGGATGTATGGATGTATGGATGTATGGATGGATGGATGGATGGATGGATGTCCATCCATCCATCCATTATCTGTACCCGTTTATTCCATTTTGGGTCACGGGGGTCGCTGGTGCCCATGTCCAGCAATCACTGTGCGAGGGGCGGGGTACACCCTGGATGGGTCGCAAGTCCATCACAGGGACACATAGAGACAAACAACCATGCACTCTCACTCACGCCTAGGGACAATTTAGAGTTACCAATCAGCCTAACATGCATGTTTTTGGTCTGTGGGAGGAAACCGGAGTACCCGGAGAAAACCCACGCATGCACGGAGAGAACATGCAAACTCCACCCAGAGGGCCCCTGGACCTGGATGGATGTCTATGGCAATATATTTTGTGCATGCAGTGTTGCCAAACCAGTAGATCTCTATAAGAAAGCTGCAGTCCCGTGACTCAGAGCTTATTCAGTATTTATTTTGGTGGACATCATTAATTAAAGCATAAACATATTTAAACTTTCATAAACTCAACAAAAACTAAACTGTGCTAATTTTTTAACCAAATGGCTGTAAATGACCATAGTTTCCTTAAATTATTATTTTCTTTTCCCTTTCTTTTGTAAAACAAACAAACAAAAAAGGAACCTTGTCAAAACTTTCAACAATTCTTGCCGTCGGCGAGATGACTACAACTACTCTATACTGAATTTGGGGTTTTCATTAGTTGTCAGTTATAATCATCAACATTAAAAGAAAGAAACATTTGAAATATATCAGTCTGTGTGTAATGAATGAATATAATATACAAGTTTCACTTTTTGAATGGAATTACTGAAATAAATCAACTTTTTCATGATATTCTAATTTTATGACCAGCACCTGAAGTTCAGTTTTGTTTTTACCTTTCAAGTCTTTATTAGTACTCAGTACCTGCTTGTACTTCAGTTATCAAAGCAAAGCTTAGTGTCAGTGTGAGAGAACCATAGAGCCTGAGGACATTAGTGTTCAGTAAAATGTCCTTACAAACATCACGCGTCAGACTAGACGAAGCACCTCAGAGTGAGAAATGTCCCTCTGTTTGGTGCCAAACCTCTTCAACACGCACCATAATTAGCAAACTGAATCTGAATACAAAGCTGTCCTGAGTGATCGTCTTCTCCCGCTGATCCAATCTGACTGGAGCGGTCTCTCCCAAGATGGCCGTGCGCTGATCCATAAAGGGAACGAGGAATTATTTCTGATGGGAATAGAAATGATGGGAATCATACGCAGGACAACCCAGCTGAGCATCTGAGGGAGTTTTTACATGATGCACGAGACGCTCTTCATCGTCAACGCACGACGGATTAGACGTTGGAAGATTTTCATCTTCAGAAAACATGTTAAGCTAAATATAACTATTCAGTTTTAGAGATTGTGCAGTCTTAAATTTGTTTATTATCGTCACCCGCAGCAAAAAGCAAAAGACATTGACGGTTTTGCCCTCATGACCCAGTGGATACATGTGAACAAAACTCTCAGAAAGCAGTCATTACATCTGAGCACCCTTTGGACTAAACCTATTCAAGAAGGCCACCACAACTAGACCTGTCGTAATAAACAATAAACCAATTAATCGCATGATAAATGAAAATTATCGACCTCATTTTCATTTATCGGCTTTATCGTTTCGTCGTGTCTCTCTTTCTACTGAAGACACTGGATGACAAAAGGCTCAACTCCGGTGCTCTTTGCTTACTCCTCCTTTTCTCTTTAAAATCCATTTTAACCATCCAAAATGGCGTTTTTGGATTGTTAAAAGCAGCTAACAGGCCGAACTCAGGGGGACTTCAGTCTTGTCAAAACTCCAAAATTCATAGTTGAAACCCGTCCCTTTGTGCAAAAAGTTGTTTTTCTTTGCAAAAAGAAGCTGAGAACTTGTTTACTGATTTTGTTTTTATTAAAACCTTTGTGTGAAAAATGCTATGCTAAAGAGCTCAAACCACACAGAGTGTCCGTCATTTTGAGAACCGAAGAGAGACAGCCCATGTCATATCAAGGGGCCTCACTCCCATTTTTCTTAGAGACACGCTGCTCGCTCCCTCACTATCCATCCTTTGGTTCAAACGATATTATTCTGCCATCGGGTGGTCAAAAAAGGTACTACACATAAAACAAATTAACCAACATTTCTTCTTAAATTTGACAATAATTATTAATATTGTCAAATTTCAAACAATATTATCGTTTATCGCAATAATTTCTGAGACAATTAATCGCCCAGCAAAATGTGTTATTGTTGACAGGGTTAACCACAACTAAGCAATGTTAGCAAACACAAAAATGGCTTCACCTCTGCCCGTTTCATAAATATTGAGGTAAGCGTTGTTGTATCTGAGCCATCCCAACACAAAAACACACAGTCCTTTAAAAAAAAGGCTAGAACGTTTATTTATGATAATACATCTAAAGACTATGAGGCAAATACAAGATTTAGAATTTCAGTGTTTTACATTGATGTAGCGTCTACATTTTTACAAGTACTGATATGTTTTTCTGTTTATTAATAAACATCAAATATGACAAAAGCAGAGAAGGAGGAACAGAGCGTTACAAAGGACATTTTCTCACCTCCAACAGCATTTCAGTTAAATTTGTTATATTCATGTTAAGCATTAGACCCGTCTGCATTGCTGTGTAATTAGCTGAGGACACTAGGTGGCATCAGATAACTGCAGTTCTGCTCTCAGGTTGTCCTCCAGTGTCCTCCAGTGTCCTCCAATGTCCCTGCAGACTGAAGTATGAGACAAAAACAGGACAACTCAAGCTCAACCTAAAAAGCATTTCTCTGTTTCAGAGACCGCGGTTTGACAGCAAATCTGTCAGGCAAGAAGAAGCCAAACCAACACGCACTCGCACCATTATGCAAATTGAAAACGCTCCTCCCGGCGCGCACGCGCGGCTGCTCCCAGATCAGCCTCTCCTTAACTCCGCCCAAAGCGCAGCGTCACGACGCATCATTTTCCTTCACTCCGCAAAGCATCACCACGAAATCACCATCCATCACGTCCCAGTGTGTCCCTCCACCTCCTTCATCTCTCTCCTCCTCCTCCTCTGTTGTCTTCTTAATGTAACTTCGGATCGGGAGAGCAGGGAGCGACTGGAAAGCCTGGTCGGGGGATGAAGGATCTGCTCGAGCGGCTTTGCTGATCCAAACCGGACACAGAGAAACCAGGAGGGATCAGACACTGCTTTTCTGGAATAACGCTGCTGCTCTTCACGGATTTCGGCTTTGGTGGTTTTATTTATTTATTTATTTATTTATTTATTTGAAATCTCTCCCTCCGTGGATGGAAGCGGCGCGCCACGCGCTGAACGAAGCTGGATTTTCACCAGACTCTCTCCACCCTTCACTTGTTTGCGTAAATCACCTCATCAGAGCTCTGAGATCTATTTAATTATTTGCAACAATGTTTCCCTAAATGCGCGTGAGAGGTTAACGCCGACAAGCCGCGTGCGTTAGTCGTCCAGCAGGAGAGGGGGAAAGAGGGGAAAGTTGTGCGCGCAAACTTTTGGAGACGGTCGGGATGGCGATGGTGGCGTGGAGAAACTCCGAGGGGCTGGTGGGGGACACCCAGGGGACACTGGCCTCCCCGGTGTCCCAGGTGGCACCTCTGTCTCTGTCCGGAGAGCTGGCGGGACACATGAACCCGGCGCCCTCTCTGGAAATACCCCTGACAGGAGGAGGAGGAGGAGGAGGAGGAGCGGCACCGCAGCCCAATCCGTCCGGCTCCTCGGCCACGACCACCTCCAACAACAACAACAGCACCTCCTCTTCCTCCTCATCCTCCTCGTCCTCGTCCATGGACAAACAGCAAGGCCAGCAAATCGAGTGCATCGTGTGCGGGGACAAATCCAGCGGGAAGCACTACGGACAGTTCACGTGCGAGGGATGTAAGAGTTTCTTCAAGCGCAGCGTCAGGAGGAACCTGTCCTACACCTGCCGGGCCAACCGGACCTGTCCCGTGGACCAGCACCACCGCAACCAGTGCCAGTACTGCCGCCTGAAGAAATGCCTCAAAGTCGGCATGAGGAGGGAAGGTACGGCTCAGGGACTCCGTTTCCCAGCAGTCTTTGCGTTTGTAATTTTATTAGCGTTTGTAATAAACCGAAATAAAACGGATGCAACATTTGTAGACACCTTTGTATCCTATTTATGGACAGCTGCCTTTATTTAATGTAAGCCACGAAAACAGTCCATTTTATCCGCTCTAATATATTTCTACTTGTTTTTTTAGCTTTTTAAATATCACACATTAAGCGCAGTTTATGAAGATTATGTGTTCGGTTAGCATCGTGTAGCATCTCGATGCTAACAGGTGAAACATTAATGTAGTTAGTATCATTTAGATGTTTTTTTTTCTTTTGTTAAAACTACAGCCTTTATTTGTGGCGGCACTGTACAGTATGTGGTCTTAGACAGTGTTTCTGTGTCACTTATATTACGTCATTATTATTATTATTATTATTATAGGCCCGGCTAGCTTAGTGTAGCATGCTGTCATTGTTCACCAAAAAGACTATTTTTATTCTAAGAATTACAGCTTTATTTATTTAACTAAAATTTAACCAATGTTTTCAGATGATTTTCGCAACAAAAATATTTCCTGCGTGCTATCACAGCGGGGGTTACTTTAGCTGAATTTAAGCTAGCTTCAGACGGTTAAAAATTCGGCATTTTTATTTATTTATTTATTTTCCTGCTTTAAAGTATTTCTTTGTTTTTTTTCCTGCAGTTGTTATGTTTTTTTCCTAATCAAAGCTAAATGTCGAATCGAGCTCCACGGAGGAAACTAGTGTGTTTGGTGTTTTCCACCGTCCTGCTTTCATAAAGTGACATTTCCGCCGTTCTCTTTGTGTCAGCGGTGCAGAGGGGCCGCATGGCCCCGCAGTCCTACCACGGACAGTTCGCCCTGACCAGCGGAGACCCGCTGCAGTGTCACTCCTACCTGTCCGGGTACATCTCCCTGCTGCTGCGGGCCGAGCCCTACCCGACCTCCCGCTTCGGCTCTCAGTGCCTGCAGAGCAACAACATCATGGGCATCGAGAACATCTGCGAGCTGGCGGCCCGGATGCTCTTCAGCGCCGTGGAGTGGGCCCGGAACATCCCGTTCTTCCCGGACCTGCAGGTCCCGGACCAGGTGGCCCTGCTGCGCCTCACCTGGAGCGAACTGTTCGTCCTGAACGCGGCCCAGTGCTCCATGCCGGTGCACGTGGCCCCGCTGCTGGCCGCCGCGGGACTGCACGCGTCTCCGATGTCCGCGGACCGCGTGGTGGCCTTCATGGACCACATCCGGGTCTTCCAGGAGCAGGTGGAGAAGCTGAAGGTGCTGCAGGTGGACTCTGCGGAGTACAGCTGCATCAAGGCCATTGTGCTCTTCACCACAGGTACAGATCCACTCACAACTACACAACCTATTATTATTGTTGTTTACAAATATCCAGTCTTAGTAAACAAGTGCAAACGCCAAAATAAAGGTCTATAAATACTGTAAACATTTTAGCGCTTTATCAGATAAATTAAACAATAATCTTTTATATATATATATATATATATATATATATATATATATATACAGATATATCATAATATCCATAACCTGAAAATATTTTTAAAATTCTGCTTAAACTGTTAGGAACAAGATGCAAAAAAAAAATTTTTATAATAAAATAGAATTGCTGTAAACTATTATTTTAATTCAATTCAGTTTATTTATATAGCGCCAAATCAAATGTCATCGCAGGGCACTGAACAGAAACATTCACACACGGTACAAAAAAAAAGGTAAGTTTTAGATTTTATATAATTTTAGAACATTTACGACGTCCAGTTCTGTAATAAAGGAAAGTGGAGGAAATAATAAATTGTGCGCAGTGTTTTCTTTTATTTTTTATAAACAGTAAAAGCTTTTTTTTTTAATGCTCGTTGAAATTTAGACTAAATTTTAGTAACCATATACTGCAGCTGTTTACTTTGAAAATATATTTTATTTGTAGTATTTATTGTCATAGCAGTACACGTTATGGGCCTAATAAATGAAGCCTCTAAAATGTCAATTACGTCCTGACAATTTTCTAATTTCATTTTGTCCTTAATGCACAATTGTTTTATACAAATTAAATAAAATCAATACAACACATTAGTATAAAATATACATATCAGTACAAGCATATAAATAATTTTCAAATATGAGCTACACTGACATAAAAGTAGCAAAAATTAAAAACCTCATAGGAAGCAGGAGCAAATGTTTATGAATGCGATCTGCAGTTTTGGGCGTTATTTTTTAATACTATTATAACTTTTGCCACCGTTCCTCACAAATACAAACGCTAACAGATTTTTGGATTTTAACCTCCTGCTGCTCCATGGTTGAGTTGATTTATTCAAGGTTCAAGGTTTTTTATTATCATTCGCATCACATGTGGTACATGAGGTGGAACGAAATTGTGTACTCAAGGTCCCAGTTATACCCAAAAATAGCAAAAATGTAAAGTATAAAATTAAATGGTATACAAGGATATATGCTAAACAATAATAATGTAATGTCATGTATTAAACAGTAACCTGAACATTATTCAGCGAAGAATAAAGTCTGAGAATCTGGATCTCGTGCTGGATGAAGAGGATGGGCAGCAGCAGAACAGAATCAAACAAGGTCTTCTATGTAGGTCTATTTTAGTCCCATGAGCACTTCTGAGCACGTGTCTGTAAAGTGGGACACAGTAGCCTCTGTGTAACCCCTGCTTCCCGCCGGCCTGCAGCACCACGGTACAGAGGACCAGACTCAGGTCCAGTACCTTTCAGTATTTAGAGCTCTGGTCTCCTGCTTATACTTGGATTTTCTCCTCATTTTAAGATGCAGGTATCATGTTTGATGGCAGAAAGCACAAGAATGAAGATGCAGAAGTTTAATTTATTTAGTGCGTTTTTGTTTTAATGGTCTGCATCTGCGCAGTGGTTCGACTCGTGCTTATTTATTCACGTTATTCATCTAACGCTGATGCATTGGTCAGAAAAGATGTTTCGTGTTTTTTAGTTTTTGTCCGCCCTTGTGGTCATTTTCACGCTTTCTTCGCCGTTTGTCTCTGCGTCCTTCTCCCCCTGCAGACGCCTGCGGTCTGTCGGACGTGGCCCATGTGGAAAGCCTCCAGGAGAAGTCCCAGTGCGCTTTGGAGGAGTACGTCAGGAGTCAGTACCCCAACCAGCTCAACAGGTTCGGGAAGCTGCTGCTTCGCCTGCCTTCTCTCCGCACCGTCTCCTCGTCCGTCATAGAGCAGCTATTCTTCGTGCGTCTGGTGGGTAAAACGCCCATCGAGACTCTGATACGGGACATGCTGCTGTCGGGGAGCAGCTTCAGCTGGCCTTACATGTCCATTCAGTAAACCAAGCCCCAGCGCTGAGTTACCCAACAGGTCCCACATCTTGACTCAAAGCTTCTTCTTTTTTTATCCTTAATCTGATCGAGGCATGTTCAGACACTGGAATGAGATTATTAAAAGATTTTTTTTAAGTCCTGTAATTCTACTTTCTTGATATCAGTGGAGTGATCTGCCTCCTCCAAGAAAGTTCAGAAACCGATGACCCTGAGCCTGCAGAGGTAAACAAAACATTTTATCAAATAAACAACAATTTTTCTTTCATGGTGATGACCTCACAGTCTATGGACAGTTTATGGGGTTTGAAATAAACAGTATTTATTGGACCTGTGTGTATATTTATCGTGTTTGTAATTTATGTTTTTTACAGTTTTACGTATTTTTCCACCCTTCTTGATGAGAAAACTGCAGGGAGCCTCTTGTGTTGATCTGTTTTCTTTTGTTCTGTTTCTGTGTTCTTGTTGTTTTCATATGTTCCACCCCACAAAAAACGGCACTTTGGACTAAATAAACCTTTCTGAATTATTTACCACGAGCTGTCTGAAACAAGGAACACCGTCTGACGAGCAGAGGAAGGTTCAGTATCAACGCCTACTCGGAGATGTTTTCATTTCTGATTATAATGTTTCTTCTCAACAAACAACAAAATGACAGAGTTAAAAAAAATGACCTCTCTGCTGAAATGTTTAATGGAACACCTTTGAACCATTAAAACAGTTTTCCTTCATGACAAGCGGTTTATTTCTTTAGGAATTACTGACTCGCCTACCTTTAGACGTTTTGGTGGAGGAACGTTTTCTATTTGGAGGGTTTCAGGTATAAATCCTGTTTTCTGTGGCAGATGCTTTCTTCATCGTCAGGATCCAACAGACGCCAAATACTTGTAATAATTGTACGTCTTCAGGACTTTGACCGGCTCAGATGAATCCCTGCAGCTCTTCGTGTGAACTGGTGCACGACAGAGGGTGTTTATTTGTTTACTTCTTGTTTCTGGACACACTGATGTACTGTGAAAGTTAACATATTGGTACCATATTAAATTATAACTCAAGATTTATTAAAAATGAAAAGCGTATTTGCTTTATTTACCTGATCGAGTAGCAGCGTTTGAAGTTTGAGTTTGTTTTGAGTAAATTCAAGGTCTTAAAAAATGTGAGGAACAGATGAAACATTCATGTTTTCACAGTTTACACCTTAAAAAAAAAAAAAAAAAAAAAAAAAAAAAAAATATATATATATA